TTTAATCATTGTCGACGATTCTTTGTTAAACTATTCAAGCACGAGTCACCTTATCAAATAAGCAAATCAATGGATATAATTTACTATAAATTGTATTCGAACACGTGGAACAAATCAAACAAAGTAATATATATTAGTGTTCATCTCCGTACATTGAATTATTATGAATTGACATTAGTTAAAATGCTTTACCTTAAAGCAAATGAATAGTGTAAAGTTACATCATAGGTCCCCCCGAAACTAAAATTTGATTATTTCAACGTTTCGAACTTTTTGTACATATTCGGTAAATTCTTTCCTCTAATTATAGCAAGTTAGACCAAGCTTTTAAATTTTAGGAAAAAAAAAAAAAGTAAAACTCAAATGGGTTAATTCTATATAAATTCTTATATTTGGATACGATTTTAGTTATAAGAAGATTATTTATTTCGATCTTAAAATACTTTAAACAAAAAAGAGTTTCAAAATAGATAATGTTTACTTTATTATCTTTTAGTTCATGTTGAATAAAACTACGACATGCACGGAATACGATGCCCAATGCTCGGCTAACACGTGTCACTCTTTTGGCTCCAAAAGTTGTTCCATTAGCTTTTCTTACATTACTATCACCCTGAATTCTCATAATTGATTTAATTATATTGTATTGATACGCGATTAATTAAAGGGAATATTTCCCTATAATATTGGTCCGAGTTTTGACCTTCCTAAAATGCAGTACTATAAAAATATTATTAATTAAATATATTAAAGTCACAATTCTATACAATTTATTCACATATTATTGAATTAATTAGTTATAAATTATTTTTCAATCATAAATCAAAAAATTTATTTCGTAGTCACAAATTAAAAATTTTATGAGTTACAATTTATTTATCTGTACAAGTCACAAATAAAAAATTTAATATTACAATTTATTTATCGATCACAAAAATTATATGTCATAATTTATTTCACGATCACAAATTATCAAATTAGTTGATTACAACGATCATAACTTAATAAATTGTAAGTCACGATCAATTCTTTTAAGTCGCATATTAGATATTGGTGACAAATTAACCAATTTATTGGTTACAATCAACTAAAATAATTGGTCACAAACGCCTCTTACCTCCACCCCATCCCCACCCACAACCACCGCACTATAGTCATGAACCACTATCGTCATTGTCATTGCCACCATCACTGCCAACATCACCATCGTCGCTGCAATCGCAACCACCACCACCACAACACCAACACCACCATAATACAAAAATCACAACACCAACACCACCAATAAAAAAACCCAAACATAATTTCTCTCAAGCAGGCAATGCTACGCGAACACCACCACCACCACCACAATCTGAAGCGACAATTACAAAAACGACCACTACGATGTCGTCTAAAGGAAGCAAACCTTACTCAAGCGCTGCATCAACGATCTAAAAGTGAGACAGAAGCGTTGTAACACCCTAAAATTTCAGAAACCTTGAAGCGTTACCAAAAATTCAATTTTCTTTGTATCAAAAGCGAAACGATAAAATAATATTCTTTAATAAAAAAATATAAATGAAATATCCATAAATTTAAATTAAATATGGAAATTGTAACGTTAAGAAAATAACATAATCACTAATTGAATAACGCGCATTTCAACAATTAAAACAAACTAATAAATTAAAGGGAAAAAAACTTTAAGTTTTTATTTCTTCAATTCATCATTGTAGTCCACATCACCATCACACCACAATCTCAATCGACTCGAACTAACCTGTAAAATTTTGTAAGTGCGAGTATTTAAAAATACACAGTAAAATACGTGCAGTTCTCATACACAATTATATAACAATAGAATTAAAACTTCATACCAATCTTCCCTTATGGAGTATATCAGTGACCAAATGACACATATATCTTAGGTCATCTTAAATTTTCGTAGGATCTCTTCTCTTAATAAAAAACTCAAAGGTACACTGACAATTCATACATAAATTATTGAATAATAAAAGTATAAGGAAACAAATCACCTGCATAAAAGTATCTTACCTTGATTTTTAAAAGATTGGAAAGAATGAAATTTTGCACGTAAAAGATATTCTATTTTTCTATATTTTTTTCTCTCCTTCTCTCCCTCTCTCTATTGTAGCTCTCTTTATTTTTTGTGGTGAAATAATGAAAATTCCTACAGTATTTATAGTTGAAATTCTCAATTGAGTTTGTATGCAACTATAATTTAAAACGATGTATATAAGAAATTTGGAAATGAATTGATTTAAAAAAAAAAATAGAATTATGATTACTTT